AGAAGACATAGAACCGTTCCCTTTTTTCCATTGTGTCCTGTTAATATAATTCCTTTCTCTACTTCTAATGTACAAACCTGTTTCCCAATCACACAAGATCTGTATTTTGTCTCTTGTTGGCCCACAGATCGTGAAAGAGATTTGAACCAGCGCAGACTAATTTTTCATCATGATGCCTATAAGCAGGAGGTATTTAGGAAGAGAACAGAAGTAGCTGAAGGGGCAAAAGTACATTTTTTTGCCCTAATTTTGTATACGCCAAATGAAATTTCCACTGAGTATAAAAATTGCTGAAGATGCTATCTGATAAAAAGGATAATAACTGGTGGGTGGGGTTAAATGGGTTTTGTATGTTGCACATGTGGATGGAACACTTTTTTAAAAGCATCTGTAAACAAATAACAGAACAAAAAAACACAGGTGACATTTTTCCAGGCATCCATTTTCAAATCTGCCTCAAATATTTTCCAATAATTTCACAGGAAAAACAAATCTTCTGCATTCAGAAAGAATAATCAAAAGTTACAAACAGGGTATGGAAACAGACTTTTTTCTTTTTTTTTCCCCAAAAATTTAGTGCCACAAAGTAGCTGCAGAAGCACTCAAAGCAATCAAGTCTCAGATTTCTGACTTGGAAACCTGCAACTCATCTTCCTCCTTGTTTCAGGTTTTTAAAACAAAACAAAAACAAAAAACAGTTAAAATGGGGAGATCTCTGAAACGCAGACTTTGGGTCCAGCACCCCTGAAACACTTTGGCATACAACAAGCTGCTGTCCAGTTCTACGTACAGGAGGCCCTGACATATTGCTTTGGGATCAATCGATTACTCGGGATCAGCTAGACATTCCCTCCTCCCCACCTTTCTCTCTCTCTGTCTCCAAACAAGACAGGCTCAGCCTAAACTTGCCCACTCACAGTATTTGCATCCAAGCCATTATTGTGCTGACAGTCAGGTGAGTCTGTGTGAAACCCACTTTTCTCCTTGCGGGATTATATCTCAGTATAGCCACCCTTCATCTGCATCTTTGTTTTCTTCATCTGTTCAGGGCTGCCTTAGGTAAAACAGGAATCCTGTCTTTGACTCAACAGAATAATAGTAATAGCATACAATGAGAGGCTTTATAAGATGATCATTTTATGTAATCTTTTGCTATGCAACATCTGAAGTCATAACAATTCCCTTCTCCCACTGGACTACAGATGTCCAAATTTCCATCCTGTACAAAGGGAGATTCTTCTGCAGGATTTCAGGTCAAAAAGAAGTCACCCAAAAAGAGAGAAGATGCACTGAGGGACTTTCCTTTTAGCTGGTGCCTGTCCAAGAGCTGCTATTCTGAAACCTGCACAAGACTTGAGGCAGAGATCTGATTTCAATAACATCCTATGTTATACAGGACACATTTCTTTATTTTTTTCCACTTCTTACTTGTCCAGAGTAGACTACAAGTAACAACAGCTCCTGTGTACACCTGCAATACTCGAATTTCACATCTACCTCGTGGAGTGCTCTAATATCATGTGAAAGAGCTGTCCTGCAGAGCACTTCAAGATTCAATCCAAATGGAAAACTTTCCTTTTTTTTTAAAGCAATGATCAATAGCTTCTGCTTTTTATTTGCATCAAAAGCGCATACACTATATTTCATGTTGAACATAAGTTTTTCCTTCTGCTCAGTGAATGGATCATAACAAATCAGCTGTAAACCTTTACCGCCAGCAGATGTAGGGATGCTTTCTCTGCGGCTAAGGTGTATCTGCCTGCCATGAAAGGACAACCTGTTCTCCTCCTGCCTCTCACAAATCTTGAAAATAAAGCGGCATCAGCTGCTTCGGAACAAACAATAACAGCATTAATTTTTCCTCAGGCAAACATAACTTGTGTGCTGCTAATAATGTTTTCCCACCTTTTTTTTTTTTTATCCTACTGTAATCTCTCAACATAGGAGTCTCAGAAGAGATACAGGTAAAGCAGGATGGAGATGTATCCTTCTCCTTCCCCAGTGGTGGGTGGCTGAGGAGCTAGCAAGAAGGGGCTAAGTGACTGAAAGCATCATGAAACCAAACTATGCTTAGATCAAAGGGGGAAAACAAAAAACAAAAACAAAAAAACACAGCAACCTGGAATCCCTTCTCAGCCCCAATTTTCTCCATCCCAAAGGCTTTTTCTATCATATATGCCTCCTTACATCCTGGGGGGAAGGGAAAAAGCTTCAAAAAGCTGGTTCCTCCCTTTCAGTCCCCACTTACGGCTGAAAATCAGCACAATTCCCCACCGCCAGCCTGAATTCAGGCCAGCAGCAGCCAGCCCTTGGCATCCCATTCTGCAGCTGCTTGCACATCTCCTGAACAGCAGCGAAAGAATGAATCAGCTATTTTAGGGCTGTATTATACCTTGGCCATTAATAGAATAAAACTACAGGAGACAGTGCTGATAAATGCCTACCCACCATTTTCTGTTACTCAGTTAAGCTTACAAAGGTTTTTGTCTGTTAGCTGCTGTTCTTTTAGACCCTGCCATATGTGGGGTTTCCTATGGTATAATTACCAAAATGCAATTAAAAAGTTTTCTTGCTCTTCAACATGAGCAGTATTTGACGAGCATGTCATGGCTTGGGGAAGGCAGAAAATAGTAATAGCTGTGGGGCAGCAAGGCCAGGGTTCAGAAAGCATTGTTCTCATCAGCACCAGTAGTTCTTTCCTTACCAGGGATGCTCTAAACTTGTGCCACAGGTATCAAAGGATCTTCAGTAAAGAGGGAACAAAACATTTTCTCCTCTTAAAAAGACAAAAGGTCTCCCCGAATTTAGGGGATTAGTGTGGGTTTCAACACAGCTCCTGTTCACCGAATCCCTGACACTAAAAGTACTCAAATACCCTTTATTTTCCCTCCAGCCATGTCCCCTGGGAGCGGGGTATTCGTTCGGCAGCAACAGCACCTCCTCCTTTTCTTCTTCCAGGGCTGAGGCTGCCAGTGACCCTCAGAGCAAGTAGTGGCCAGGTAGACCTCGGCAAGGTGTAGGAAGGAGAAAGACTTGGTGACAGCACTAAGCTCCAACAGCTCAAAGCACATCGTGGGATGACTCATGCTGAGGAAGAAATGCAGTTGCTGGTGACTCACAACGATGGCTAGTTTGGAGCTTAAGTTCTGTGTTCAGTCCTTAGCCTATGATCCTTTAAATAATCTTTTAATATGAAGTTTAATTCATATACAGGGCCAGCAGAGTTTCTTTTTCTAAAATTCATTGCAAAGGGATTGTGAAAAGCCAATGGCATTAATCACCATGAATAGAAAAAAGAAAAACTGAAGAGAAAAAAAAAAAAAAAAAAGAAACCAGTAAGCACATCTTTCTAGAGCATAGCAGAAAGTCTGCTAACCAAAATCACAATGATTCAGCCCAAAAAAAGCAAAGGCTTTTTGGAAATCTTCTCAAGCACGCACCACCCCTGCGCCAGCTGATGCGACAAACATCCTGACTCGGGTTCAGTGGCAAAGCCGCCCTCTGCGCAGCATGGCCCCACCACCCCAGCCCCACCTCCTGTCCTCCCTGCACAACTACCAGATGGCTTCAAAGTTTGCCAAAAGTGACATTTCAATTACAGATCACCTGCAGATAGACAGCCTTGAGTAGGAAAAAGAAAGAAAATCAAATAAAAAACAAGTGATTGGCCACATTCTGATTTTGTGTACTCTCAGGCAACCTGGTGAGAGCCAGGAGTGGAGAGCAGAGGATAGGACAATTTGAGTCCTTCTGGGCTGGGGGGACTGGCCCCAAGCCCAGCTCTGCTCCCAGTATCTCCCTCGCATCCCACGCCCTTCTTCCCGATGAGAAGCAGCCCACAGCCCTACCCAGCTGGCGCAGGTCTCCAGCAGGAGCCCATGTTCTTGCATGCTGCCTAACATTTGTTTTGGTGCATTACCAGAGCCATCGAGATTCCTGAGGCCACAGCTGACCTTAGGTATGATAGCTGTCCATCTGCTGGTCCAGAGATGCTGTTAGGAAACATCGCATTAAAAGTTTCATCTTTTCTGTCCACTTGTAGTCAAATTAGCATTATCTTATTATTTCAGTACATACATTTCTGATATTACTAGTAAGTGATTCTTTTGCATTCTTTGTTTCACAGATATTTTAATTCTTTCAGTTCTGAATTGCTCCCAAGCAGTCAGCTTAATTCCATCAATAACAACCTAATAAATGAATTTTAATCTTGCAGTGATGAATACTACTGGCAGCTTACTCTGGTGTAGACTTTAATTAAAGCAACGTAGCCACAGTACTGGTCGCAGCTACATGACAACCCGCACCACTGAGGTTTTACATTTGAGATCCTGTAGCTCAAGCCTTCAGAATGAGCTGTTTAAGGGGAAAGAAATTGCATTTCTGGATTGAAGTGGCCAACTGCTCCCAAAGGGTTGTGCGTGTCACCTTGCTCCAAATAGTGAAAGTGAAAGGCTGTGAACATCAACAAGCCTGGGCTGCTTTTAGGATGCCCTGTGGCAGATGAAAGTGGTGTGGGCAGTTTTGCCTTCAAGGAACAGTGATGGGCCCTGACCTGTCATTATCCTGCCCAATGTTTCCTGCAGACAAGATGCTTCCTTCTCTTCTCATCATTGGGTGACACCATAGAGTGTGTCAATATATGGCTTGCCAAAGGTTCCTGAAAGAACCTCAGCAGCCAAAATGCTCTCCATTCCCTGTCATTTTAAACACAGGTTGACTTGGACAAATTATCAGTTTTTCCCGTTTTGAAGTGAGATTTTGGAATCAGAAAACAAACTGGTTCTTTATCATGGAAGAAAAGGGAATGAATTGTCCTTGTTCCCTGGATATGTTCCTGGTTTTCATTTACTCATTGAAAGAAATGTTGCTTTCAAACAACTCTGATTTTAAACAGCCTCAAAAATTAAATATTCCTGTTTTTTTCCCCTGCTCCTTCTCAAGAGCTCTCCCTGTAACAAGCAATGTCACTGTTTATCATTTTTCTTTGTTACTGTCTAAGACATTTTACTCCCTCATGTCCAAAGTGACGCACAATTAAATTTCCCTTTTTATATTACTTAAAAAAATAAAATTAAAAGTAATACCACACTGAAAAAGCAGAGTGGAGTGCAGATTGCAGTGGTCTGGGAAGTCCTCAGCAGCCTAAACAAGTGACTGCTCTAAGACAACTTGAAAGCTGCCAGCACAAATGCTCCACAAGTCTGAAAGAAGACAGATGCTGCCATTTTATTAATATCTTCCATAAATGAGGCTTGTCATTAAATCCAGGAAGAAAAACAAGGACTGATACAATATGAAAAATGAAAAGGCACAAAGTATTTTTGGGAAAGCAATTTACAATGGAAGGGGAGCTACTGTAAATTTGAAGTCCCAAATGAAGTTAAAACTGCAGTTGGACTTAATTTGAGATGATGTGGAGAAAAACCTTAATCTGTTGATCAAAGACACGCATCTCCAGATTTTCTCCACTGCTGGCACATTTAACCAATGTGATCAGACCGTAAAATATTTCATCAGTGAACTTCTTTGAAACATTTCCTATCCAGAGAAAAGCAATGATGAGCTATAGCAACACTTACCATATTTTTAAACTGTTCAATTGAATTAAATTGAATACAACAGGCATTTCATTTTCAAAATCTGAGATACGAACAGGAACGTTAACATCCATGTACTTCCAGTTTTTCAAACTACAGCAACTTTGTTACTGCCAACAATGAACACGAGACAACAGCACATACCGCGTACGTATAGGATATCAGTGAGAGATATTAAGAGATTAACTAAACGTTTGCTACTTTTTAATTTCCAGAATACCAGAAAATAGTAGAAGCACCCCTACAGCAAGAAATAGCAAGCACCCCCTTTGCAGACGTACCCTAGGAAAGGTTACTCAGAGGTTATGGAATAATCACTTCTATTAGATTTCTAAGCTGGAGGAGATAACCATCTATCTGGAATTGTCTAGGAACACTGTAATCTCACACAACACAAGTGTACAGGCTAGACAATGCCTCTCCTCCAATTTTAGGATGCTAAATTACTTGGACCTCTTGCCCTCTTGTTATTTCCACTGAAAAAGGGCTGTCTGTATATATAGATTTTAAAAATGGAAAAATAAAGCAACAAGCAATTCAATACATCACTCAACTCTCTTCATGTGTATATTTTATGGAGCTATAACTTGATAGAACATGTTAAGAAATATTAGAAAATTAATAACAATATTACTATTTTTTCAAAATTTGTCTTTTGGCTTAAGACTTGCATTTCTCTCACTTTATATAGTCTAAGACATTAATCCTAAGCAGGCAACAACCATCTTCTGTGTTAGCGAAAGTCTTTTGATCTTGTGTCTGATAATCAAATTAACTTTCTCTTTCCCACATTACCATAAATCCATTTCCCCAGAGACTGAAATAGAATTACCTCATGCTGTAAATGGGAGACATTTCAGCAACAAAACTGTTAAGTCAATTCATTGTCTGGGGATGGATGTGTGCATTACTTCAAAAGTTTAAGTACTTCAGCAAATATCTATATGGGAAATAGCCATAAAAATCACAACATTTATTCCTTGTCTTTGGGTATCTGTCCATGTCCCTATATACAACAGGTATTTTTTGGTCCAGTGAAAGCTGCTTTTGATTGTTATTACTAAAGAACGACAACAAGCCAATTGTATATTAAATTCATCTATGTCCTTGAAAAAGTCTGTAAGAAAATGACTTTTTGTGTACCTATTCTGAAATTTTGAAATGGTTTACGTATCACGTGAGGCTGGGGAGGCAGAAATCATACAGCATCTGTCTGGGCACACTAGTGTGTGCCCTTTTCTCCTTGTACGGAGGAAAAGTGGAGATACAAATGAAAATGTCCATTAGATGTGGTTCCATGTGGTGAGAAACTCCACTCAGAACAGATACCCAATGTTCCCACTCTGACAACCACAAAAATCAAGTGATGCTTCAGCTCCTTCCAGTCCCTAGGAAGTATTTGTCATCAGTGCAGTGGAGCCAGCACCCTCTAGGGGAGCAGTGGAAAAAGCCCTTAACCTTTTCACATGAGAAAAAACAAGGTCAAGCAACTTCCACTGAAATTTCTGGATTGTATGAACCACTTCATAAAGACACACTCAATCCAGCTTTGAATGTTCTTACAGCCACCAACGAATTATAAAGAGCCAAGTACTTACTTCTCAGCTCAGTTTCCTGCTCAACATCTCCACGGCTAAGAATCACATGTTTTCAGCAGCTTTAATTCCTAGCATACTTGGAACGTTTCATTGCGGGGTATCATTCTCAAGCAAGTCACTACAAAGAATTAGGTGGTTTCACTCACAGTCAGGGACAACCTTTGAGAACATCCTGGCCTTCCTGCCCAAAAACACTCAGCATCTCGGAGTGCTACTCACACAGTACTGGATTTTTAGCATCCCACCAAGTCATGCCCACTGAGGGCATGGTCTAGAGATTGCCTGCAGGGCCCCTCCACTTATATCTCTTTAGTGACTCTGAAGGCAGCATTCCTTTCCCTTTGCAAAGCAATTCTGTAGGAGCAGCATGCACTCAGTGCTTCTTTCCTGCAGCCTACAACGCTAACCAGAGCAGGCATACAGCCTGTAAGACTTCCAAGGTTTTAGCCATCCCAACATGATGTTGATGGCCTGCATTTGGGTTTACTTCAACAATTACCAGAATTGACATCACCACATTAGCCTTAGAAGCATTACTTTTACTTACCATTCATTTCCTCAGAAAAAAATATGGTAATGAAGTTTCAGCAGAGATGTTAAGGAAAGCACGAAGATCCTTTTAGTCCAAAGTAGACCTTTGCATATATATTTTAGAAGAGATATACATTTGGAAAGAGGGGGAAGGAAAAGAAATTGGAAAATGGTTCTTCCCTTAGTACAGGAGCCTTTCCAATAAAGTCTACTCTTTCATGTAACATTAATGCCTCTGATCTTGATGTACTCCTTTAGCCATAATGTAGATGTAATTACAAGCACAAAGGAAAGAAGCTTCAGAGAATTATTTACTTCTGGCTGCTACTTGTAGCTAAATACCATCCTATTGGGCCTATTCTCACAATAATGTAAATTAAACAGTTTCACAATGGATAATATTTAGACCTTTTTCCCACCACTATTAGTATCTTTGGTTTTAGGCGGCAATGCCAAATTTGGAATAAAATACTATTTCAGAGTACCTTGCTGGGTCATTGCTTGACCTTCAGGTGGCTGCACAGGCAGACTGCCTTCCACAACACACCCACCTGCACATCCTGAATGTCTCACTGCTGCGCAGAACTCTCTCCTCCTAGTGCTATTTCCAAGCAGTTCTGAGTGCACTCTCTAAATGGTAGCTAAAACAGATAAGAGGAGAGATGCTATAGTTTACACAACATTACCAGAATAAAAAGTAAACAGAACACAAAGTCCACTGATACAGAAGACACTCAGTGTGACATAGCCTGGCACACAACATCTGAAAATGCAAACAAATCCAAATTTGTTACTCAGCTAGGGTCTCTGGGCATTGAATATTTATGTTTTCAGTGTTTATATTGTTGTTAGTGGTGGTTTTTCTTTTTTTTTTTTCTTCCAGACACTGTTAGCAAGTATGAGTGCTTAGCAAGGAACCCATAGATGAACACTAAAGATTAGTGTTTGATCTCCTGCAACTCCCCCTTCTGAACTGATCATATATCCAAAGGGTGTCTAAAAGCTGAACTTGCATGCAGTGTGTTAAGGACAAGACAAATGCTTTTGTTTCAGCATGCTAACTGAGCCAGATACTGTCAGAGAGTGATTTTTTTTCCCCAAAAACAGAGTATACAGGCTTTAGATCTTGTGAATCTGTACTGGTAGCATGAAGAAATGATTCAGTAAAATAGTCATGTTCTCTGTCTTCCACTTCAGCAAATAGGTTGAATGCTCAGGATAGATTGCCAAGAGTTAAAGCCGCTATGGCTAGAGCAGCTTTATAACCAGTAAGACTGCTAGCTGCTGCTGTTGATTTGCCAGGCATTTTTAATACTGTACTTAGCATTTCCACAGTCGCAAAGGGAAAAATAACACCAATTCAACTGCACTTGTAATAATAGGTATTGTCCTTCTCGCTTTCCCTGTGAATGTTTTCTGGGTGTCCTTCTCTTTTCTTCTTGTACTGTAAGAAATGATATTTGAGTTCTTTTCTCATAGCTTATTCAGTGTTTTGAATCCAGATATAAATGGAAAGTATCATTATGCACCATTGTTATGGTGATAATGGGAGTAGCTGGGTAGCTTACCTGTGATGTTTTTATGTTAACGCACTGGTCAGAGCATAGCGCATATTCGGAGATGGAAGTAATTCCTTATTGTGAAATATTCCCTTCAGAAACTTTATGAAATTTCACTCTCTTGAAGAAAACCCATCCAAATTGTTTTTATATTAAAAATACCCAGAATAGCAATTAGCCATTTACAAAGATGATTATTCCCTGTTCCCCAAAACATTAAATGACCTTTATTTGTTCCCATTCCCCACCCCTGCACAGTTAAACGTCATTGCTTTTCCATACATAAAAGCTCTAGTTTGTAGTTGTCCAGCACATTATCAAATTCAATGTCAGAAAAAGTTTTGTATGTTTATGTCCAGTGTTGTACTCTGTTGTGAAGTTAAGTATTTTGGATTTCCAAATACCATACAGGCAGATTATGCATTTATGATCCAGCTCCTCCCAAACTGGGTTACACCATTCTCACCTCACCTTACTTAAATATCACAGGAGCCAGCTCTGCACTTTGCAGCTCCTCTAGCTCTTTCTGCAGCTATTGGCAGGGCAAAGTATTATGCCCGAATCCCGCGTTATACTCCCCACAGTGGGCAGCAATTGTTTTTTGGACAGTACATCTGTAAGACAGCAATCTCAAGAACTACTCCCTCTCTGCTAACAAGCAGGGTATGTTTTTAATAGGGAACAGACTACAGAAGAATTGCAGTATTTATTTTTTCCAACTCATATATCCCCATTCTTTTCCCTACACACCCACAGTGGCAGATTTTCATGTCAGCACTTGTGCTTAGTTCCTACGGTTCTGAGGCAGCAATCCAAACTGGTGTACTTCATGGGTGTCTCCAGGACCTTTAACAATCAGCAAGTTGAAAGGAAAACGTGAGAAGAAAAATACCCTTGGTGCCATCTATCTGAGTTTCATGGAGCAGATGAAGCTAACACTGACAGTAATTCTCACATTACCCATGAGGACAGAACGGACAATTTTTCAGCTTGCTATTATAATTTCAGTGCTCACTTTGCTGCAGTCAAATACACCCAACAGTTTCGGATATCAACAGAAGAGGGTGTCTATCCTCTGTGCTCAGCAAAATCAGCAAAACAGCGAGTGATTCTCTGAATTGCCTTACGTCTTCATGATACGGTTTTGGTGAAAAAAGAAAGTCTGAACAAGGAAGGTGTAGGCACACTAGGTAGGAAGACGTTGCCAAGTTTTGCATTGCATTGCATTGTTTTACATGCAAGACTTAAGTAGGCCAAACCAGTATTCAAAATACCTAATTTGTAGCTATGATTTTGCTAATAACCTCCAAAGATTACTCTAATCACTTTGACATACTCTATATCAGACTTTGTACTTCTTCCATTTATATATTTATCTGTTTTTTTGCACTTAGGCAGACCTTCTTATTAAGGAGAACGCTTCAGTTTGACTTTACATTCCTACTTAAAACAAAACCTTTAACATTTAGATTATCTACACTGTAAAATAAAAATTCAAATTACTGTCACAAAACCTAATGGGATCACATCATTTAAATTCACTGAAAAACTAAGGTCATACGGCTCAGCCCATAAAGGTTTAAAGTGGGAACATTAAAAGAAATAAGCTGGAATGAAAACGGGCAGTAAAACATTCTGAGGAGAAACATGGATTGTTTTCTTATTTCTTACTTCGAAAATATATGTGGCAGTAGGGGACACGTGAAAGGTGCTCAGCATAGGAATAACTCCAGCAACTCTCTCATTGGCTTCAGCAGAAGGAAATAACAGTAACATTGAATGGGAAAATAAAAAAAATAAAAAAAAAAAAGGAAAGAAAACACTCAGTACAGGAGAGCTGCCTTTATGGCTTTTATGTCCCAGCTTCCCTTTAGGTTAAGAAGATTAAGAAATTAAAAAAAAAAGTCATAGATGAGGCACACAGAGGAGAGGGGAAGAAGAAAAAAATAATCATCCTAGTAGGAAAATAGCCAGTAAGTGGTTCAGTCAGGGACAATGCTTCCTTACCATTTTTTTTTTTTCTTGTGGAAGCACTGGTTTTGCACTCCAAGACAGTGCAGTACCCATCAGTATTAATGATGGGTGACATATTCGGGCTGTGTCCACCTGCTCTAGTCAGAAAGTGGCCTATGCATTAAGACCATCCTAAGCACTGCACATCTTGAACATCACTCCTGCTGCAACCTGGAGGACCACCAGCAACCTCTCTCTTTTCTCAAGTGATGAGTGAAAGGATGAGCAAATGGCCTCAAGTTGCACCTACAGAAGTTTAATTGGACATCGAGGGGAATTTCTTCACAGAGAGGGTGGTCAAGCATTGGAACGGGCTGCCCAGGCAGTGGTGGACTTCCCATCCATGACGGTATTTAAGAGATGTGTGGCCATGGCTTAGTGATGGGACTCAGCAGGTCATGCTGATGGTTGGGCTTGATGACCTGAAGGTCTTCTCCAACCTCGATGACTCTGTGATTCTCTGACTGCCACTTCACTGCTGCTTATAACTTGGCATTCCCCATCACCCCTCCCCAGGGCCAGGAAATGCAGTAATGACCTTGACATTCTTGTTTTATTAACCACGAGGAGGCCCAGGGTCTCCCCCAAGGTATTACTCCACTGCAGAGCTGTCAGTTCTCTGCCAGACCTTGCTTGCAGCACAGAGCAGTGTCATGATGCTTGTAGATGATGAAAGATTGCCCCATTCTTCCCTCATACATTCCCATACACCTGAAGAGTGCAATATATGGGTGACAAGTGACAAAAAATCAAAATGTTTTAAAGCAATACTTCATCCTGCAGGAAACAAAGAACTGTGCATGCCTGTCTTACAGACTAGAAGAAAGTTTCAGAGTACAGAAATAAATTAAAATTACTAGTATTCTGGCAGAACAAAAAGAAGAAATCATGTTCAAGAGAAAGGATAGTTTCATTTTTCCTTTTCTTAGAAGCAATAATAACATGATCACATCCCTTTCCCAAATAGCTATCGAGTTTTTTGTTTTTTAAACCAAGACACCTAAGTGCTCATTCCATTTTAAACATTTTTTAATGAGTTATTCCACTGAACAATTTGATAGCATCTCCTTCTTCCCATGCTTTCAAAGGGAGAACTATCAAGCTATTTTGCAAAGCAACCCCAGTCAATATACTTTCAAGGTTTTTTTAATGTGTCATGTCAGGAGATAAATATCTCTTTATCTCCACTAAGTCTGATAAGAAGCCAAATTCTTCAAGGAGACTGTTTGATATTTGCAAACTTGGAAAAAATAAATGACAACACGTAAATTGTACCTAAATAGAAGAACACAGCTCTGCAGGTAGAACAGATTGTTTTCACGATATTACACTCAAAATTACCAAACACTTATTGCCTGGGAAAAAGAAAAAAAAAAAAAAGTAGTTTTCTCAGTTCCTAATTCTTTTGGGTCATTTGCAGATGAAAAGAATTTGGGCTTTCGTGGTGGACTGAAAACAAATACAACAAATGAAGTTTTTCAGATGACAATATCCCTTTCCCCATTCACAAAATAAACCAGACGCAAGCCAGATCCCTAGTCAAAAAAATAAAAATAAAAAAATTGCTGGGGTATCCCTATGCAATGTAGCAACAAAACAGATGGAGTATTGTATTTTTCACGTAGTCTGCATTGTCCTGTACAAAAATGAATTCTTTAGATACTCTAATGCATCAGCATAGCTGAGGAACTCATCAAAATATTTTAAAAGGGGACAGGAGGGAAAGGAAGGAGAGTATTCATTCAAGCTTAAAAATAAACTCCTCCTGAGCCAGGTTTACTTCCCACATTAATGTTTTGGGTCACATTATAATCATCCCTCAAAAAGCATATATTAATTTTGAATGCAAGAAAGATACTGAATTTCTAATATTGTGTTAAATGATAACATGGGAACAATCCAAGCTACAAAGATAAACCCAGAAAGCAATTTCAGTACATTTCCCCTCTTATCCCTGTCAGGATTTCACGTTATGCTTTCGGCTTCAAGAGCGGTTAAGGATTCATACTGGTTTCTCTATAATACCTGCACTAAACTGTACACCTAAAGCTGGACCAGTGTTTCTTCAG